AAGCTCAGCCATTGGCTCAACTTTGCTTCCAGACTACTGGCTTGATTTTACCCACAACCCCACTTTTGAGAAAATTCTCCGCACATGAACTCAGACTCACACAGCTAAGTTTATGACCTCATGTTGAATCTTATACTGCTGTAAACTTGTATATAAGTCTGTCTAACATGCAAGACTGATGACATCTTGACCTTTATAATTTCACTTGGCATTACATTTTTGGCTCTGGTTAGCTCAGCACTCCCTTCACATGCTCAACCAGAATTCATGTGAAATGAACTATTCTTCCTGAATCTGTGATCACATGGTTATTTTTGTGTACAGTTGCCTAAGTACACATGATGGCTCATGTTATCAAGTGTCTCGATATACCCTGTTCTCCCCTACCTACATACACCGATCAGGCATAACATTATGACCACCTCCTTGTTTCGACACTCATTGTCCATTTTATCAGCTCCACTTACTATATAGGTGCACTTTGTAGTTCTACAGTTACAGACTGTAGTCCATCTGTTTCTCTGCATACTTTGTTAGCCCCCTTTTACCCTGTTCTTCAGTGGTCAGGACCCCCATGGACCCTCACAGAGGTACTATTTGGGTGGTGGATCACTGCAGTAACACTGACGTGGTGGTGGTGTGTTAGTGTGTGTTGCGCTGGTCTGAGTGGATCAGACACAGCAGTGCTGCTGGAGTTTTTAAACACCTCAGTGTCACTGCTGGACTGAGAATAGTCCACCAACCAAGAATATCCAGCCAACAGCGTCCTGTGGGCAGCGTCCTGTGACCACCGATGAAGGACTAGAGGATGACCAACACAAACTGTGCAGCAGCAGATGAGCTATCGTCTCTGACTTTACATCTACAAGGTGGACTGACAAGGTAGGAGTGTCTAATAGAGTGGACAGTGAGTGGACACAGTGTTTAAAAACTCCAGCAGCACTGCTGGGTCTGATCCACTCAGACCAGTGCAATACACACTAACACACCACCACCACGTCAGTGTTACTGCAGTGCTGAGAATGATCCACCACCCAAATAGTACTCTGTGAGGGTCCATGGGGGTCCTGACCACTGAAGAACAGGGTAAAAGGGGGCTAACAAAGTATGCAGAGAAACAGATGGACTACAGTCTGTAACTGTAGAACTACACAGTGCACCTATATAGTAAGTGGAGCTGATAAAATGGACAATGAGTGTAGAAACAAGGAGGTGGTCATGATGTTATGCCTGATCGGTGTACATCTGTAAGTCATTTAAATGAACCCAGTAAAGAAACTAGGAAAGTGCATTTCCTGAAGAAAATGCAGTGATTGCACAGCTTACGCACCCAGGTGGTTTCTAGGGTGTTGCTGAATGGTCAGCGGTTGCTAGTGTTTTGGCGAATTAGTACTATGATATTTTAGGTGGTTGCAAAGGTGTTGATAAGTGGTTGCTAATGTATCCCAGATGGTTGCTAGGGTGTTGCTAGGTGGTTGCTATGGTTCCGCACATGGTTAATAGAGTGTTACTTATGGACTTCTACCAACTTCACATAAACTTTTGCACCCCATTTATTCCTAAAGGAAAAAAATCCAAATTTAAGGATAATTGCAAGAACACTGTACATATAATCAAAAGCTGTACACAAGCACACCATTCCCAATCAGACCGAACATTAAGTTAAAACAGTGTCGATATCTCAAAAACTGTTATATTACGGCAAATAAAAATATTGCTTAGCTTTGCAATGCACAATCACTAATAAGTGATTAGCAGTTGCTGGGCTTCAGTTCACAACACTGAATGCAACTAATAGCTCGGCTAGCCAAAATAATTATTTGATATAATAATTTGAATTAGCAAGTAATGTTTGTTTGCTACTTAGATTAAATGTAACATTAAATTGGTAACACTTTCTATGCATGTCCCATTTGTAAGCATCTATAAACACATTTATAATATGTTATAATGCCTTCATATAAAAACGAATTACACTGAATTACACTTTATAGCCATGTTTATTATACATTATGAATTGTTAATATAATGCATTATAAGCGGTGTTGATAACATGTTATACTGTCAGTGCCAAAGAAGTCATTCCCAGCTTGGAGAGTGCAAAGTAAAGACAAATACCAAGCTAACGGTGGTGTACATTACCTTTCCCACATTGGGTAAAACACTGATGGCAGCTCTAGTTTAAACTCTGACATTTGAAGCCTGTAATGTGCTTTACTGTGTATGTTTTAGTGTTTCAGTAAATCCTTCAGTAAATACTTTAGGAGGAGGAGGCTTTAGTACAGTACGCTTCACTTTACTTAGAGCGGACAAATACGACTTATGAGCTCTTATAATTTGTTATGATTAGTACTTATAATGTATTATGTAAACAATTCATAATGCATAATAAGCATGGCTATAACGTGTAATGCATTTTTATAAATATTTATAGCCATGTTTATAATGCCTTATGAATGCATTATAACATGTTATGAATGTGTTTATAGATGTTTACAACGGTGACATTCATAGAAAGTGTTACCATTAAATTTTCTATTGGACACTGCTGCCTGTGCCAGTTACTGCCTATTTTCATTATCACTTCATATTTTAAGAAGTGTTGAGCATGCTATAAAATAGCTTAGCTTATCCAGATGACTTTCCAGTGACACATACAGGCACATTACCAGGCTAACATTAGCCAACCCTAATGGTAACCCTGTTCTGTTGCTAGCCAGTGTTTTTTCCTGAATTCAGCAAAATGCTTTTCGTTCTTTCCTGCTGAAATCCCAAACAACAACAATGTGGTGGTTTAATAATATACTTAACAGAGAATTAATAGAAATAAATGAAGCTTTTTATGTGAAGGGTGGTGATCTGCCATAAGTTGTGTATGTGGTGCCCTCTAGTGTTGCTCTTTCCATATCACAAGCTAAAGAGAGAGAGGGAGAGTGTGAAAGAGAAGTGAAGAGGACACACACATGGCTGACATTTTAGCTCCTAGGGAGGGGAAAGAAGAGGAGAGTGAAAGGAGGAGGGGGAGAGAACTGATAAAGATGGGCACTGAGGGAATGAGAGGAAAGATAGCAGTTTATTTATAAAGCCATCTGCTTTGTGTTGAAGGAGAAGACACAGCATTAGAAGACAAGTGTACAGGACTGTATACATATATAGATACCACGGCGAGGGGCTTTAGGAACACTAACTGAAGTAAATGTATAGTCATAGAACAAAAGTTTGGACAAAATTATTTAAATTTAACATTTTTTTTACTGTTTTCACATTGCAAATTTCAACCCCATTTCCAAAAATGTTGGGACACAGTGTAAAATGTAAATATAAACTTTTCCATTTCCCCTCATTCCATTTTAAATAAGCTCAAGCCCAGAGAAGGTGGCAGCATTTCTGGATTCTGTTTATATTTGGTTTCTTCTTTGCGTTTTACAGTTTTAACTTGCATTTGTGGATGCAGTGATGAACTGTTTTCACAGACAGTGTTTTTCAGAAGTGTTCCTGAGCCCATGCAGTGATTTCCACTACAGAATCATGTCTGTTTTTAATGCAGTGCTGCCTGGGGGCCCAAAGATCATGACCAGCAAGTACTGTTTTTTGGCCTCGTGCCTTGCATACAGCGATTTCTCCAGATTCTCTGAATCTTTTAATGGTATTATGTACTGTAGATGATGAATAGAAAAAGTTCTTTGCTATTTTATGTTGAGAAACATTATTCTTGAATTGTTTCACTATTTGGGGCGGCACGGTGGTGCAGTGGGTAGCGCTGTCGCCTCACAGCAAGAATGGCCTGGGTTTGATTCCCGGCCGGGTGACCAGGGTCATTTCTGTGTGGAGTTTGCCTGTTCTCCCTGTGTCTGCGTGGGTTTCCTCCCACAGTCCAAAAACATGCAGTCAGACTGATTGGACATGCTGAATTGCCCCTAGGTGTGAGTGAGTGTGTGACTGTGTATGTCTGTTTGTCTGCCCTGCGATGGACTGGTGACCTGTCCAGGGGTATCCTGCCTTCCGCCCAAAGACAGCTGGGATAGGCTCCAGCACCCCACCGCGACCCAGAAGGATAAGTGGTTTAGATGATGTATGTATGTATGTTTCACTATTTGCTCATGCAGTCTTTCACAGAGTGGTGAACCCCTTCTCATCTTTACTTCTGAAAGTCTCAGCCTCTCTGAGATGCTCTTTTATACCCAATCATGTTACTGACCTGTTGCCAATCAACCACCAGGTGTTTATTTAGCATTACACAACTTTACCAGCCTTTTGTTGACCTGTCCCAACTTTTCTGGAACCTGGTGGTTGGCATCAAATTCAAAATTGGGCATATATTTTTCAAAAAACAATAAAACTTCTCAGTTTCAACATTTGATTTGGTGTTTTTATACTATTTTCAATGAAATATAGGGTTTATATGATTTGCACATCATTGCATTGTGTTTCTATTTACATTTTGCACAGTGTCCCAACTGTTTTGGAAATGGGGTTGTAGTTTAGTAAATAATGTTAAGCACAGTGTCAGCAACAACAATTTTTTATACAATCATTTTAAATTAGGCCTAGTCATTTTTTTTCTCTCAGTTGTTTTAATATTTGATTATTTTCTAAAATAAAAGTCTCTGTGCATAAAATCTGTTTAAGGAGATTAAAAACTAGTTAGAACTTTTTAGAGCATTTAACAATATATTTTCAGAATAACTTTTTTTTGTTGTGGAGTGTATTTATATTTATCTTTCAGGCATTTCAAGCATTTATGCATTACTAACACATTCATTCGGTTTTGACTGGTACTTTTACGCTCCTGAAGTTTCTCAATGTTATCTGCATTGATGGGGTTGGAGGAGTGGATAAACTGAGGACATTAACACAGTGCAGAGAATTTGCAGATGCTTGACCATCCCCCCTGCACACACCCACTCTCTTTCACGCACACACACACACACACACACACACACACACACACACACACATAAAATGCTGTAACTCTCTGACTCAGCAAATCCATTCAGAGTGTCCAAGGGCCCAAGACCACAGAGGTAAGACACAAGAAGTTTGTCTATATTCTATATAAAAGTAAATTCTTGATACATGCAATAATTTGAATACTCCTGGCCAAATTACATGTTTTGTTGCTCTTCTAAGTGAAAATAAGTTAACACATCTTCTACAGAGAACACACTCAAATACAGCATTTTTTTCTATTAATTGCTGGGTTTAACTAAAACAGGCCAAATGTTATGGTTTTTTAAAATTATTTTCCCAATATGTTAATTTCACCAAAAAAGAGAAAACATTAAAATCTATTGCTGTGTGTTCTCTGTAGACGACAACCAGACTTTTACGGAAACCTATCAGTAGCAGAAACACTTTTCAGACATTTCCTGTACTTTTCAACATGTGACAAACCGATGTGTATCGATTCTTTCTTCCATTTAATTTAGAGATCAACAACAGCCCCAGCACTGGGTGTGCTTAGGCCATAGTAAAAAATTCAAAGTGCAAGCCATCCAAAGTGGATGTAGCAGATAAAGGTGACCCAAAGGGGTTTTTCAAGCAGTGGTTTTTAAACAGTGGTTTTAAAGTCTGATCGTGTAGCTTAAATATGTTTTTCCAGGTGAAAAGTTTGTATTTGTACCTTTTCATAACCGAATGTTTTAAAACAGAACAGTAAGATAAAAAGCCTGGAGATGAGACGGGGTGTGTGGAGTCAGTACAGCTTAGAAAATACTTAAAAATACTTAAACAACTTAAAATTTATGGTGCAGTTATGTTCCTTGAGGGTACCACTCCAGTGTCAAGAGGGGTACTGCCCCAGTGACAGATTCATACCTTTTTTTCTGAGAGTGTACTGTAAAGGTTCTTCCTCAAACCTATATTATGTTGAGGATTTTTAAACTTTACAATGGTTCTTCACACTTATGCATCATTTACATTAACAGTTATGTAAAGAACCATCTACTGAAAGATTCTTAGGGGAACCAGAAGTATTCCGTCTATGGCAAAGATCCCTTTTGGCAGCTTTACTTTCAAGAATGTATGGGCATACATAGGACATACATTTAAAAAATAATACAGTTATACTACACTACACATCCAAACCACTGAAGACACCTGCTCAGCCAGTGTTTCTTCTGAAATCAAGGGTGTTACTAGAGAGTTTGTCCCCTGTTTGCTGCAGTAACAGCTTCTACTCTCCTAGGAAGGCTTTGGAACATTGCTGTGGGGATTTAATTGAGCATTAGTGAGGTCAGGTACTGAAGTTAGGTGGTCAGTTCTGGATCACGCCAGCTCATCCCAAAGGTGTTGACTGGTGCTTCATCACCCCAAAGAACACAGTTCCACTGCACCACAGCTCAATGCTGGGGAGCTTCATACCCCTTTAGCCAAGGCTGAACATGGGGCACGGTGACCTTAGGCTCATGTGCAGCCAATAGAGCATTCTCTTCTATTGGCAGTGCTTTTCTATGGGGATTATATAAGCTAAGCTGAGTATCAGTACTGGGTGGCTGAATTCACTAATTAGAAGGGGTAAGAGCTCAGATTGTTTGTTAGGGTATGTAATCATTAAGTATATCATGTGCAATACTAGACAGTGAAAAAGGCAAGTGTTTTGGCATGAAAGTAGTGGGACTAGGGAGACTAGGGAGGTCTCTGTTTGCATGCATGTGTGTGTGTGTGTGTGTGTGTGTTGTATACTGTTGTCGCTTAGTTTCCAACAGTAGCAGCTGTTGGGGGGTCTGTCTGAGCCAATATTACCAACACTACACTGCCTATTTCTGTAGCATGCGTTGTTCTAAAGGTCAGAGAGAGAGCAAGAGAGTGAGTCAGACTCAAAGGAAATTTGAGGAAAAGAGAGAGAGGCACATAGAGAGAAATAAGACAGTCAAAGAGAGACAGAGAGAGAACTTGTTTTGACTTTGCAGCAACTGTGAAGTTTTTAAGGTTCTTCATTGTGCAGGACCTTAGGACAAATGGAGCCTTCTGCAGTGGCCAGTGGGTCAGAGGAAAGAAAGAATAAGGTGAGAATATTACTCATTTACAGATATGAGTTAGATTGTCAAACATTAAGAGTAACAAATGGTTATGCCGTGCAATCTTGAAGTTATATATATATATATATATATATATATATATATATATATATATATATATATATATATATATTTATGTATATATATATATATATATATGATGGTTGTTAATGCTTAAAAATGATGGTTGTTAATGCTTAAATGTACAGTTCTAAGAAAACATTTCATCGGTATAGAATCTTCACAGTATTTGGAGGCTCTTTCTTAAAAACGGCCTTCACACCTGCACATCTCATTTCCTAAAGTGATTCTTCAAAGAAGCATCCAATGAAAGGTTCTTATGGAACCAAAAGTGGTTCTTCTATGGTACTGCACCAATGAAGAGCTATAGAAGGAATTTTTTGTGTACTTTTCAGTAATGAAAACATAAACAGATCCATCTGGCTCACAAAAACACCAGTTGATATGACGTACTGTGCTTTTTTGCCAAACATTCTGGGCTTTTCAGCAGAGTTTTTATTAGAATACTATACATGTCTGTCATCTCTGTGCTGTACTGCCTATTTATTCAGTATTTATGAACGTGTGTGTACACACACACACACCTGCTTTACCAGAGGAATGTCTCTGGCACTTTTACAACTGGTGAGTCATGACCTTATGACCTTATGTGACACCTGGAACTGTTCCTCAAAAGCAGATTTCTCCCACCCACATGTACACATATATAGATCATTCTATCAAACTGGTTCAAAGTCTGAGCTCAAAACACATTTCAAGCTTTTAACTTCAGACTTTAGACTAAAATCTTAATTGAAATGCTTCATAATCGTGATCACACATTCCTACTTATCGTGTATTGCTTAAATAACTCGTTAACTGAACTTGTGTAGCATTGAATAAAATAGTAATAAAATAGAATAAAATACTTTTCACTTTATCTAAGTCAGTGGTCACCAGCTCTCCTTACCTACTTTCCTGTAGAATTTAGTTTTAACCCACATCTAATGTGCTGCCCTGCCTCTTACATAACAAGTCTGCATCTGATCCAGTCAATCGGGAACTTCTGAAGAAGTTAATTAGCTGGAGCAGTGTGGTAGATTAGGGTTGGAACTGCACTTTGCAGGAAGGTAGATCTCCCAGAACAGGGTTGGTGACCACTGGTGTGAGTAATAATTGAATATAAAGTAAGAAAAAAATTGTAAACCTTTGATGTTACTATATAACTCATTTTAGAACATATTTTTTCCAAGTAAGCAGTTCTTGGACGGTTAGAATCTATGATATCTGTCATGGCTTTTGCGCTACCACCACCATGTAACCACATTTGTGACGGGTACTTGACAGGATGCCACAGAAGAATCCCCTGAGGAAGTGAGCGCTGGTGGGCGGGGCTCTGACTCAGCAGGCGTAGCTTGTGAGAGTACCGGAGGAACTAATGAGGAGAATGGAGAGGAAGAGCCAAATCCACAAACTGGAGCCAGCGAGGGAGGGGCAGAGATGACAGAAGGTGATACCAAAGACAATGAGGGAGAGAAGGATGGAAGCAAAGATGGAGGAAAAGAGACTGTGAAGGATGAGAAGGAAAAAGACAGCGAAAGCAGTGAAAAAGGTAATAAAGAAAAGGAAAAGACAATAAATAAAGCTGACGAAGGAAAAGAAAAAGAAGTCAAGGAGGATGGAAATAATGCCGTTGCTGGAGAGGAGGGAAAAGGTAAAGCTAAAAGTGATGAAAAACATGAGAAAGAAGAGAAAACTAAAGAAGAGAAAACTGTGAAAGAAGAGAAAACTGTGAAAGAAGAGAAAACTAAAGAAGAGAAAACTGTGAAAGAAGAGAAAACTAAAGAAGAGAAAACTAAAGAAGAGAAAACTGTGAAAGAAGAGAAAACTAAAGAAGAGAAAACTGTGAAAGAAGAGAAAAACAATGACTCCAAAGGCCCGGCCCAAGCGACAGCGGATAAAGAAGCGAAGGCCAAAGAGAAAGTAGAGGCACAGCCAAATAAAGAGAAGAACAGAGATAAACAAGAAAAGACGAAAGGAAAAAGTGGAGCCCCTCCCTCCTCGTCCTCTCTCAGAACCTCTGCTCTGGCCTCTTCTCGGCCACGGAGCGCCCGGCCTTCAGCCCGGAGAGAAGCTATGGCAAAGTTTCAACAGGATCAGTGAGTCATCCTTATCGCCGTCATCATCACCCTCAAAAGAAACCATATCATCACTGCATCCATTAGCAGGATCGTTATGTTTTTATCAGTGTACTCCCAGCATTCGCCCACATATATAAAAACCCCTAATCAGCATGTTTTGATAAGCAGTTCTTTTTCAGGCCTTACCAGTTTTCATAAGCATGATGCTTTTCTCATAAGGGATTAATGTTTCATTGACGTACATTTCACTGATGCCTGTAGATAAAGTGACTCAGTGACCCCCTTTCCAGTAACTTAATTATAAAAGGCAAATGGCAATTTAATTGGGCTGTTGGTCAGTTCATATGAAAGCAACAATAATTCAGTGAAAAATCAAACACAATTGTACCCATCTACTCTGAAATGTAGTTAATGAACCAAGGCGCAGTCGTGTGAAGAAGTAAGTGCACCCCTTTTTTGACATATGTGGACATTTCAGTTTTTCGATCTTTAATTAAACCATGTGTATAGATAAAAGTTATGTAACATAACAAAAAAAAAAACAATAGAACTTTGAATTTGCAATCATTTATTTAAAAAAAATAAGTGGAAAAGTAAGTACACCCCTATTGTACAAGTCCCAAGTATACTAGTACTGCTTACTTTGGCAAAAACTGTTTACCAGTTTCTGATATCTACTTGGTGAAATTTGTGCCCTTTTCTACATGTGGAATTCATTCAACTGTGCACTGTTAGAGGGGTTTCTTGCATGTACAGCCCATTTCAAATCTCAATTTCAATGAGATTCAGATCTGCGCTTTGATTAAGCCATTCCACAACCCTCCAGGTTGAGCCATTCCTTGGTGCATTTACTTGTATGTTTGGGATCATTATCACGTTGGAAGATCCACTTCTTCAGCTTTCATGCACTTTCGGGCATGAAAGAGAATTCATAGTGGATTTTGATTGCAAGTTGGCCAGGCTCTGACTTAGCAAAGAAGCACCAAACTATAACATTTGCACCACTTTGTCTTTATAGTTGGCGTAAGGTTGGTATAATCTGATTAAACGCGGCCTTTGGTTTTTGCTAAACATGGTTTCTGGCTCTGCCAAACAGCTATACATTGACTTGTTTGTCCATGGTTCAGAAGTCCTGGTCTTTTCATAGATATTCATTAGCAAACTTTTGTCTTGCTCCGATGTTCTTTTTAGACAGCAAAGTCATTCCTCCTGGCACGCCTCCCATGTAGGTCAAATGTATGCAATCTCTGTGTAATGCTAGATGCATTCACTTTGACAAGACCTATGTGTAGATTCAGTGACGAAATTTGGGTTCTAAGAGCAACTTTTTAAGCATCTTTTAGCATCTTACAGTCATTGCTTGGATTTCATTAGCTGGGACGGCCTGACCTGGATAAGTTAGCGGTGGTTTCCAATCTTGTCCACTTGTAGATGATCTTCCAAACAGTGGAATGATTCCAATAATTTGGCAATCTTCTCAAACTCATAGTCCCTTCCTAGATTCATAGGCATCTACAGGCTTTTTTATGAAGGCCTCAGCGAACTCCTTTACTCTATGCATGATAATACCACACACACCAATAACAATAAGCAAAGCAGACTAGATATCTGGGGTTTAAATAAGGGTCAACAGGATTTTCTTTATTATTATTTCTTTATTAAATGGATGAAAACGGGCTGTCTTGACTCGTTGTAGGTCTCCTGCTGTCCGCAACTTTAAGGTCCAGAAGGTGTCCGCAGGCATGTCTGCTGGGGCCTCAATCAAGCAGAAGATACTCCATTGGTGTAGTAACAAAACACGGAATTATGAGGTGAGGATTGGGCTGTATGTGAGGTGTAACTACTGATGGTTGAGCTTGTGAATACATAAAAGGTAGCAAATTGGGCTTACACTGCCCATCAAAAGTATCTTGCCTTCTTTTGAAATATTAAATTTTTAGCTATTTACTGAAACATTGGGTGTATTTTGTGTATATTTTTATATTGGGCATATTTTTTGCTGTTTTATGTGGTCGTTGGTCACAAATACTACCACAAATGTTGTTTTCGACAGACAGAGTTCCTGACTAAGTTTTAGCTTCACAACCCATAACAAATGGATCAGCAGTTAACTCATTTTACCATGACAGTTAAAGACTCAGTGAGCTAAAATCTGTCTTCTTTCTAGTTAGGCTAAACTTGTTCTTGCAGCAAACAGTAAACATTTACTAAGCATACCCTTTGAATAATGTTCAAACAACCAATAAATGACCAATATATTTCACCATATTTCTCTCCTCATGATGTAAACTGGGCGGTCCAAATCTAGGAGGTAATGCTTCTGTAAGTATTTCCCTATCAAAAGGCTGACATTTCTTACCCCGCCCACACAAAACAGAGTCAGAGAAACTTAGCGGGCTAGACCACCTGTCTGTAGCTGCCTGTCGCTTTCGTTTATCCATACACCAACATTTTCCGTCCGTCCGTCTGCACATCTGTTTGTCTGTGACTTTTTTCATTAATGTGTCCTCCGTCACATAAAAGCTGGATAAAGGTTTTAGTTCTGTATGAGAGGCGGAGGAGGCTAGAAGTGTTGGACAGAGAGCTGTCAATCAAACTGCTCATTAGCCACACCCACATTCTTAGCCAGCTCTGATCAGCAGTTTGTAAGCCATGTTTTATCACATTTATATCTTATATTTTTCATTAGAACTTTGCTGGATGTTTAATATACTCTGTTTCCTGATACTTTAACACCTTTCTCTGTTAACCCAGATTTAGATACTCAAGCTGTGGTTAATCCTCCACATGAAAATGTGACACCAATAATGAGCAGACAATCACATGAAACATGAGGAGTGTCTTTTTTTTCAAAGAAGGAAAAAGAAATCTATGTAAATATGAGTAAACCATTTTATATGTTAGTGTTGGTGCTTATTGAAGTAATAATCGCTTTATATGCCTAATATCTGTGTAGTATGATTTGCTACGTCTGCTAAAAAAGTGACGTATACAGAAAAACTCAGTCATTTGAATGGCTAATCGCTAAAGGCTGATGTTAGCTCCTTATTCAAATTTATGTTCCACCTTAAATAGTGCAGCAGTTACACGCTAGTACCCTTACAGGCGTCTGAATGTAACTGCTACATCATTTAAGGTGGAATGGAATGAAAACTGCACTGATCTCTATCCACTGTGCAAGACTCAGCTACAATCAGCAAACCTAAGTGTAGCATTTAAAGTTTGTCTATTCTTCTATAGTTTGTTGTTCTTGTGTTTATATGCATGAGTTTATACATTGGCTCATAGTAACCAGCCCAAAACACTATAGGCCCACCAGGAATTCTCCAGACTCGCCTGATTACCAACTAACTAGATCAAGCTAAACTGAAAGTTAGCTGGCTAAGCTTCATGAGACAGCCTTTAACATGTTAAATTATAGCTAACCAACAAAGAAACCATGCTCATTCATATTAAAATGGTTTTGTAAAGGTAAGTGTCCCTAAACATTTGAATGGAAAGTTCTGACACGTCTTTACGTGGCAAACTTATTCAGTAGGCCTACATACTTTATGACAGCTATTATTCCATCCTGTTATAAACATCAATGTCTATGAAAAAGTAGTGTGAACCATTACAAGCAATGTCTGTAAGTCTGAATCTCTGCTGTTGTCCTGTTATTGTTCGTCTCCAGGGTGTTTCTATCGAGAACTTCTCATCTTCCTGGAGCGATGGCCTGGCCTTCTGTGCCCTCGTTCATCGCTTCTTCCCAGACGCTTTTGACTTCTCCACCCTCAAAGCCAGCGAACGAGAGAAGAACTTCACCCTGGCCTTCAGCACTGCAGAGTAAGAATTCATGATAAAAAAAACAAAAACAAAAAAAGGCATTGAGAAAGTAGTGAGTGTTTATATGGAGGGTAGAGAGAAAGAGAGAGTACTCTCTGTACGTGTGTGCCTTGATGTGAATGTGGTATCACATACAATAGGAATGTGTTAGAGTGTGAATGAGTCCATAATTCATTCTCCATCCCACCCCCTTTCTCAGATCTCTGGCTGGCTGCTGCCCCCTCCTGGACGTATCAGACATGTTACTAATGGGGAAGAACCCTGACCCTTTCAGCGTTTTCACCTACGTTCAGTCCCTCTGCCAGCACCTTTCAAAAATAGAGCGAGATAGGAAGGAGCGAGAGAAGGCAGAGGAGGGCAAGAATAAGGGTGAGGCTGAAGTCCAGGGCAAAAAAGAAGGAGAGGCGCTGGGTGAGGATAAAGAGCAGGAGATTAGGGCAGGAGAGGAGCAGGGGGAGGATAAAGAGCAGGAGATTAGAGCAGAAGAGGAGCAGGGGGAGGAGGAAAGAGAAGAAGAAGGAGATCCAGATGAAGAGAAAGGTGGAACCGAAGAAGGTACGAAGATGGAGACGGATCAAAATGACAACGTGGTAAACAGTGAGCAAACAAGTGAGACTTAAATACAGTAAATAAGCTGCCAGGGAATGATGTGCCAGAGTGACAGTGATGTAAGGAGGAGAGATACAAGCAATGAGATTATTAGATAGCTAAAGACACAATTTTAAGTATTTTAGCCTATAATAAATAACTTAATGTACCATATTAATATACTGATACAGTACTAATAATTTAAGCTATTATAAAATAGCTAAAGATGCAATGTTAACAATTTTGTGTGTGATTTTGTGAAGATTGTTTACTATTGTAAGCTGCACAAATGCCCTATATATATATAAATATGTTATTCTGACACTGAACGGTTTGTTTTTTCTTTGTATATGTGAATATATGCATTTGTTAGGCTCTAAAATAAAGCTAAGAGGCTATTGAGTGTGTGAGAAAATGACAATAAACTGATATAAAGCATTGCTATACGATATATATGATATGCAAGTCTCAAAACACCATCAGTCTAATGGACACACACAACCTCCCAGTTAGCTTCATCATATGACTGTGAGATTCTTACTCACTTACTCATGAACTCTCTTCTCTTCTACTCATGACATATGTTTTCCCTGGCGGTCAACTCCTACAATAAAGTCTGAGCCCATTAACTCTAACAGAGACTTATTAAACAGCGTTCCACAATGAAACATACAGTTTCATGAAAGACAACGACAAGATGTCCAATTAGTATCAAGACCATTTACAATGAAGTGTGATGTATAGGAGCTATATGTAAGGTATGGTTCATAAATCAGTATGTTTTTGTACTACTCGGCACCAGCTTTATGTGTTCATGGCTTTGTTGTTTCTTATTGGCCCATAGTACAAGTGTCCAGTAGTTTGGGCCTCAATTTACTCTGTGCTGATATTCCAAATTATTGCATTTTTAGGTGTCTCGCAATGCTAAATACATACATACATACATCATCTAAACCGCTTATCCTTCTGGGTCGCGGCGGGGTGCTGGAGCCTATCCCAGCTGTCATTGGGCGGAAGGCAGGATACACCCTGGACAGTCCAGTCCATCGCAGGGCAGACAGACAGACATACACAATCACACACACCTAGGGTGTGTTTAGCATGTCCAATCAGCCTGACTGCATGTTTTTGGACTGTGGGAGGAAACCAGAGTACCCGGAGGAAACCCACGCAGACACGGGGAGAACAGACAAACTTCACACAGAAATGACCCCGGTCGCCTGGCCGGGAATCGAACCCAGGCTATTCTTGCTGTGAGGTGACAGCGCTACCCACTGCGCCACCGTGCCGCCCACAATGCTGATTAATGGTAAGTAAATCCATTTGTACTTCTGATAGCGACAGTCGTGTTTCATGATGTCAGGCTGATAAAGTCTGTTTACGTATGATTTATTAGTAAATGAAGCTGATATTTATGTTTGGCCTATAAAACAGTTTAAACAGCCTGTGAATATAACTGATTATATTGGTCTCTTTTTCTGAGAGTTTCAGTCTGAGGTGGTGATAATTCACCCCTGCTTGGCTACTTAAATATCCTCTCCATAAATCTGACCTTCAGTCCTATGTACTGATTGTCTAGTCCAGGGGTCGCAACCCAAATGTTAAGAAGAGCCATTTTGTCCTTTTAGCAAAAATCAAACCACCTTGGGAGACACAATAGTTTATGTCCATTTTACCATCTTGGCTGTAAATATGTCTCAGTATGTGCTAATGTGCTAGTATAGGCTAACAATTTAATATAAACGAAAACACAGACTTACTTTCCTCTACTTTCAGCTTTAGCTCAGCTATAGCCGCTTTTCTCACATCTCCAGCAGGAACCTTTTTAAAAGTGGAATAGTTTCTTGTAAAATGTCTCTCAACATTTGTTGTTTTTGCAAGGCTGATTTTTTTTTTTCGAACGAGAAGCTGGTGAACGAGAAACTAACTTCAGCATCGTGACTTTTTAGTGTTTGACAGTTTCTCGTTGCAGGTTAAACGTATCAGGAAACCAGCTGAGTGCTTATAAATGCAAACAAGTCCATTTGTCTCCAAATTATTGATGTTTGTCTTAAATCTTTCTCTTTTTCAAAATGCAATTTTAGGAGGGTGTAATCACTGATGTAACCACCTAGATATTGTTAATAGCCCTGGATTCAGCCTTTCAATACATTAATGACAGTAAAATGAAAGAAATGTGTCCAAATGCTGCTGCACTCAGAGCAACACTGAAGGCCCACCAGTTTTCTCTGCTGGTCTTGAGGTGGGTTTGCTTACTTCATCTATTTAAGAAAGTTAACTGACTGCATAGACAACGTGGTTAAAACAGTAACTTACTAAAATTAGGCTTTTTCACACTCACATGTGAAGTCGCTCTGGTTATTATACAATCAAACTAGCTCATATTTCCAACCATAAATGCAATGGAAATTAAACGACTGACCTTTAAGCAAATGTAGGAGAACAGGTGTGTTTGTCAAATCTTTTGACCATGGAGTGAGTCTTGATATGGGTCTTACTGGCTCTGTAGGCTAGTCGCACCCCTGCCCCGTAGTACAGCACATGGCTTTTGCTGTATACTGGATACTGTACAGTGTACTACTATGAAGAATAGTGTGCGGTATACAGTGTATATAGGTGCGGTATGTAGACGTAGTATGCTATTTTGAACACAGCCAAGGACTTACTGAGCATTTTCCTGACATCTGATTGGCTAGCTTAATCTCCCTTCCAAGAATCTGATTGGATTGGCTTGTTGTATTTCCCTTCTTGTTGGTCGAATTCCCCTTCCAGATTGTGTATTTGAATTTCCTTCCAACAATCTGATTGGCTAGTTGAATTTTGCCTGCTCACTCACTTTCAGGAGCCCTTTTCCTGGTTAAGGAGGTGTTGTAAGTGCTGCTGTTCCACATATTGTGTTAAACTGTGGGGGGGGGATGTGGAAAGGAAGTAAGTCAAGCCCACAACACTGGTGCAAAAAAGCAAACAAGCTAATCACTACAATACCACTGCCAACTGCTTGCCAAGTATCTGTCACTCCAGAACGAAAAACCAAGGTGTGACATTGGGTCAAAATCCACCTACTGTGATTGGTCCAGGGAATCTGCCCTTACATACATTTCCATACTTACACTCTTATCTATTGTAACTTACAATACTAGGTAAAAGTAACACTACAGGTCATGTTCAAACTTATAAGTATATAGATCATTCTACTGAATTAGTTCAAAGTCAGAATTCAAAATACATTGGACTTGGACTTTTTTTGCTTTGAGTGACCTTAAACTTTAATTCTGTTTATTTTATTAAAAAAAAATGAAAAAATGACTGAATGTTCCATAAAAGGTATGCAGTCTTCTCAGGACTGAGGCGGTAGTGACCTCTGAAGGTAAGAATGGGAATTTTAAGGGGACAGACATGACACTCTCTCTCTCTCTCTCTCTCTCTCTCTCTATCTCTCTCTTTCACACACACACACACACACACACACACACACACACACACGTTCTAAGCCGCTTATCCTTCTGGGTTGCAGGGAGAGCTGGAGCCCCGGACAGGTCGCCAGTCTATCTCAGGGCAGACACACAGACATACACACACACACACACACTCATGACACTGTTTCAGTAATAACAATTTTAGCTAATTTTGAGCATAACTTAAAAAAACACAAACTAGTACATGACTAACAAACACAGCTTTGAACAGCTGTACACTTTAACAATCATAATATTTGTATCAAAATACAAACAGCATAAAATTATGTGTTTCGGTAGTGACAATTCTTAAGGTTACACGCTGATTTTCACACTTTGGACAATTTACTTTAAAACGATGGGATCTTACTGCTCACAGTGTGGCTCCTCTAAAGTGTAGGGGTGGGGCAAAAAAAGGCCCCACCCATGGATTAAAATGCTTTGTGTTTCAGTAGTGACATGAAAAAAAAATTCAACTGAAGATAAATCTAAATCTTTCAACTTAACTTTAAAAAACATCAATATATATTTAGAAAACATTGAACAAATATATTTTAAATTATGTTAGTATTATTTTTCATGAGTTGAAATTTAGGAATTACAGTTTCAAGAGAAAATACTCTATACATGTTGATTTTGTAATATTTAGCCTATTACTATCTCAGTTATTGTCTTTGATTTAACCAGATAATAACATAATTATTGTAAATGCGTAAGGTCTGAATACTTGAACTGTTTTTAAATAGTTTTTCACTTTGGGATCACAGTTTGAATGGTCCATATAGCAGTGGTGTTCCTTCCTGGATGGGGAACTCAACCTTTGACTTATGTGGAAAGCAATGGAGTTATCCACTAGCCTATACAACTGCTACAGCTAAAAGACCCTGATGGACAGCTAATAAACTAATTGACTCTACTAATATAACAAAATACCAGAGATGTTAAGATGTTTATTCATGTAAGAGTCTTGAGTCTCTGTGGTGTGAGTTCAAGGCAAGTCTTCAGTCTTTAGTAGAGAAATTTATTTTATTTTCTCTCATTATTATTAGCTGCTATTGTGTTAGCTAGCATACTTGCTGTCCAAACTATGAGCTAGCCAACAGTGTTTTGGGTTTTACAAGAGCAGTTCTGTGTTCAGAAACTGACCATTGATGGACAGCTAACTATGCTCGACAAGAGATCAAAGACTATATAATGTAATACAGTGGTTCCCAGTCCGGTCCTTAGAGCATCCGACAGGACTGGGTTCAGGAACCACTGATCTAATAGTTCACCAGTTAGGTTTCTGGTGACTATAGTTCACTTTAATAGCTAAGTTATCTCTGTATTTCTTCCATGTTTCTTATTAAACATGAGCCTAACAGCGATCTTACTTTCTCCTCAGAATAAAACATAAACATGGAACCTTAGCAGTCACAGCAGTATTATATGCTCACATATGGTGCAATGTGAAACCCTTGGAACGGTTATATATTTAAAGAACTGAAAAAGAGCTGCAGTGGCAGTTTATTTATTGGACGTAGTGACAGGGTGTGACTCTCGAACACATACACACAGACATACATACAAACGTGCACCACGTGTGGTGGTCATTAATCTCTAGAGTTACAGAGTTGACCTCACTGGCCGCCGAAGCTAAAGTCACACTGCTCTCAGATCTGTATGTAGTGCTTTAATGGCAGCAACACAAGATCCACAAAGGGCTTTAGTCCCTATAATCAGCATTTTGAGCGCAGCCTGCATGTGTACATTCTGTTTTCATATGTCAGTATATGAGAGCATGTGAGAGACGGGGGGGAGGAGAGAGACATTTGATGGACGTATAGTTTGACATGCCGGCAAATGAGTGCAAGTGTTTTAACCCC